GACTCCTGGTTGCCAGTAAGACAGGATGGGGCAAAGAGCAGACAGAACCCCCTGAGGTGAAATTCTGAGCTTTATCCCTCCGGCTAGACTACCATGGTCCGAGTGGGAGACCTAGACGACTTTGCATAAACTCTGTAGACCCCTGAATACCAGCTCTGCTTCCTGTCCACCGCCCCCTGGTCTCTGCTCTCTGGTCACTGTTAGCTTTTGGCTCTGGTTGGAGGAAGCAGAGGTAGTTTTAGAGAAAAGAAAGTAATTAAGTGTAAGTTTCTAAAACTTCGGGCCCAAACTATGCAAAATTGAACGTAAAATTGACAACTCCCTCTTTTGTCAGCTTGAACGGTCAGAATGGACATTAAAACAAAGGGGCAGCTGCCCTGAGGACAGGATCTCAAGTCTCACGGGGCTGTGTGCTTCCTTGGGGGAGGACTGAGTAGGACAGCACAATGGGGATTGCGGGGTGGGGGGGCACCCTGGGCCTCAGTTTTCTTATCACTATGAAAAGTAATATATATATCTAATATCTAAAATCAGCTTTATTTCATGGGGCTACATGGAGGTGAAATAAAAGAGCAGAAGAGATTTGTGGACTCTTAGGGACTGCACACATATAAAAGGGATTTGAAAGGTACAATGCCTCCATTCCTTTGGGCATAGAAAGTCCTGGACACTCCTGGGGGAGCTCTGTGCTCTGATGAGGAGCGGGCCTTGGGGCAGACTTTCCCCTGTGAATGGGTGGTTTCTGAGCCCAGGAAGAAGGTGTAGAGGTTGCGTCTTGCCCATTGTCTGCATATTCCAAGAGTGCCTGCAGCCTGCCCTCCATATTCTCCCCGCCCGTTCTGCCAAGCATTGCAAAGTTCATCCATGCAGAACTCCATCTGAACCAGCATCGCCATGACTGATCCCCAGTCTTTTCTGACTGATTTCCAGGTGCCTGAAGGCCTACGGGGATATGAGACACAAGCTGTGAGCCAAAGCTTCAGAGCACTGCAGGCAATAGCTGGAGCCCTGGATGTGCCCTGGGGAAAGGATTGTAGATGGGGGTCAGGGAGAGAGTCTGCAGGAGTTCCTGTGAACTCCTCCAGCCAGCCTGGAGGGAGAGGGATGCTTTTGGGGAAAGGGCAGATCATATGCAGGCCAGAATGAGAAAAATATTCTGTCTGATAGCCCACTCTTGCTCCCTGAGCCTCATGGGTTGAGCTGTGACCCACCTTTGGGGCAGTCCACAAGGGGCCAGCCGCATTCCTTCGGCCAAAGGAGGGGTTGGGTGATGTTTGAGAGGACAGGGGTTCAGTCTGGGGCCAGGGGCAGGGTGAATCTGTGACCAGGATTAAGGGTCAATTTGGAATTAGGCTCAGGGGCTTGTTTTAGGTCAGGATGATGGGTCAGACTGAGGTCTGGGGCCAGGGTCAGAAGTCCATCCGAGGTGGATGAAGGAATGTCCTCTGATGGAATCTGACTGGCGAAGATGGTTGCTGACCCTTCTCTGTCCTGGCCACTCCCAGCAAGCCTACTGCACAGACCTAGCATTCCTACTTCCCCAGCATCTCTGGCACGTCTTAAAAAATCACACCACCGTGGCTTTCTTCTCTTTTGTCCTAAGTGCTTGTTGGGATTTCAGCAAGGATGGTTCCAATTAGGAAATCCAGCAACTATTGTTGTGGGGCTGTGCTGTCCCTGTGGACATTCCCCGCAACCCCACTTGGTGCCTGAGCAGAAAGGACTCGGAATGACTTCCCCAGGCCCCCTCCTGACTCCCGCTCTGCTGCTGAATGGGAGGAGAGGATGAAAATGCACAAAAGCCATCTCCAGGAGTATGGGCAGGGAAGGGGAAGACAATGGCTTCTGGGGCTGTGATCCCAGCAAAGCCGCCACCTTTGTGGATTTTTGAAGTTGGTGGCTGGGAGGTGAGTGTTGTGTGAATTTGTTGACGATGATTCTCGGAGTGTGTGTGCCTTCCTACATATGTGTGTGTGCTCACCATTTGCCTGTGCATCTCTTTGTATCTCGGTAAGACTATGTGTCCACCGTTTCACAGATGTGTGTGTGTGTGTGTGTGTGTGTGTGTGTCCATCTTTCAGAGACAGATGCCTCTGCGGGTGGGTTCCCCAAGGTCATCTTGCCCATTTTACCACCTTGAGGCCAGTGCTGTGTCTGGGGGTCAGGCTACATTGTTAGGGGTCTCCAAAATAGTGGGGTCTCAACAATTCCCCAAGCCCCATTCTCACCGAACTTCAGCCCCACATGGGGAGCGAGGTGGGGCTGGCCTCACCACTCCTGGGTGCCCAGTCCAGTTGACTGTCCTGTGAAATCTTCCTATTGCGAGGGCGTGCCCCAGCTCTGTATTTCTGGGGCTACAGTGTCCCGACAGGAGCTTTGTGAATATCTGGGCCCCAAGCCATCTGAGGTGGAAGCCTGAGGGCACTAGGGTGGGAGAGGAGCCCTCTGGGAGCCTACACGCAGGATCTTCAAGGCTGATCTTCCACTAGGAAGGGAGATTGAGGGCCAGAGGAACAGGAATTGCTTCCCCCTGAATCTGTAGTACCATAACTGTCCACCAGGTGGGGTTCCAAGGCAGAGAGTGAGAATCGAGATGCCAGAGCTCTAGAAGCCAGAGATTAGCTTTCAAATCTCCGCCGCCACTTCAACCTCCGAAGCGCTCTTACAGGGAGGGACAGCACATATGCTCGCACCTTAGACGCTCACACACATTTTCTTCAAGTGAACTCTAAAATAGAACACGTATTGGGTGCAGGGGAGGTGTTAAGAGGGGAGTCTAGTTTCGTTTACACACACACCACCCTAAACTGAAGGTGGGATATCAAGACTTCTGCTCTGGGAGTGCGAGAGTGAATGGCAGAGACGAGGGGGCTGTGGGGGGAAAGGACCTACGGGAGAGGGCGAGCCAGGCACTAGCTAGATGATGCCGGGCTTGGCACGCTCCATGTATCACAGACACGCAGGAGGAGAGGCCAGATGACAGACGGATGCACAGACACACATATAGCTCCACAGAGAACACACGAACCCGCAGACACACCACCCAGCTCCACAGATGTCGAGCCGACCCAAGGACACACAGGCGCACACACAGGTGCGGCCCCGGGCCACACGCACACCTCGCGCAGGCACGCGCGCCGGGCCCTCTGCGGCCGGCTGTGAGAAGGTGGCCGCGCTCACCCAGCTTGTTTATTTACTCATTTGTATCAATGAACGTTTGTACCCGACTCCTCCCGCCTCCGGGTGCCGGGTGCCGGGGCTGCCGCATTTGTCCTCGGCGCGGGACACTCACCCGGATCGGCACCCGGGGGTTCCTCCGACGCTGCGGGGGGCGGAGGGCACTATAAAGTTAGGGGGTCCGAGAGGAAGGGCTGCGTCGTGAGCAGCCCAGGACGCGGTCGGGGAAAGGGGAACATTGGCGTCTTGTGGGATGAGAGACATATGCGGGTCGTGGTGCGGGCGGGGGG